CAAATCTGGTCTCAGACACTTGCTAGCTGTGTGACCCTGGGCAAATCATTCACTCTGTTTACCTCAGTTTCCTCATCTGTAAGTTGGAGAAGGAAATGGCAAATCACTCCAGTGTCTCTGCCAAGCAAACTCCAAATGGGGTCACAAAGAGTTGGACATGACTAACCAACTAAACAAAATAAAAAAACAAAATATCAGTATTATCGTCATTTGGGGAAGCTAGGTGGCACAGTGGATAGAGTGCTGGGCCTGGAATCAGGAAGACTCATCTTCCTGAGTTCAAATCTGGCCCCAAACGCTTATTAGCTGTGTGACCCTGGGCAAGTAACTTAACCCTATTTGCCTCAGTTTCCTCATCTGTAAAATGAGCTGGAGAAAGAAATGGCAAACCACTCTGGTGTCTTCACCAAGAAAACCACAAATGGGTCACAAAGAGTCAGACACAACTGAATAACTACAACAAAAAATAAATAAATAAAAGGGAAAAGTGCTGGGCTACCTGGGAAAACATTCAATTCCCTTTCATTGGAGCTTTTCTAGCAAAAATTGACACTGATCACCATTATGCTGTGTTGTAGAGAGTATTCTTGTTTACATATGGGTTGAACGAGATGGAGGAGAAGGGGGGGAAGGAAACAGGGAGTAAAGGGCAATGAGGTGGTTAATGAGGAAGGTGTGGAAGAGGTGACCAAAGGGGAGAAAATGAAGTCTGGCTGAAGCTTTCCTGAAAGAGTATTCTGGGAGATGCAATCACTGATCAGGAGATCAGGGCTCCAGAGCAGAAGTCCCTCCAGAGCATGGCCTCTGATGTGGATGGCAAAGTGGTTGGTGAGGAAGCTGTGAAGGAGGTGGCCAGAGAGACTGTGCAGGTGGATGTGTCACATGTAGAAGACAGGTTAGATTTGTTCTTAGTCTCAGAACGCATCCTGGGACCAGATTTTTGGCTCAACATAAAGAAAAATTTCCTGACAATTAGAGCTGTTTAAAATGGAAGGGACTCTAAGGATGTGATAAGTTTTCTATCTCAGGAGGTTTTGAAGCCGAGCCAGATTTTCATTTGTCCAAGGTGTTGTATACACGATTAATGCTTTCAGTGGGTATTAGACAATTGAAGTCCTTTCTAATTTGTCATTCTACGATCCAAGAGCGCTCAGGCAGCAGTGTGAAGAATGGATTAGAAAGGGAAGCCCTGGAAGAAGGAGGCAAGAAGAACAGTCAAGAAGTTGTTGTGTATCAAACTATCTCTTTTTGTAGACTATGTGATGATATACTTGGAAAATCTCAAAGACTCAACAATTTTAGCAAAACAGTAGGATATAAAGTAAATCCACATAAATCATCAGCATTCCTATATATCACAAACAAAACCCTGCAAGAGATAGTAAGAGATACCCCATTTAAAATAACTGTAGATAGTATAAGATACCTGGGAGTACTAGATAGTATAAAATACACCTGCCAAAACAAACCCAGGAACTATATAAACAAAATTATTTTAAAAAAAACCTTTATACAAATAAAATCAGAGTTAAATAATTGGAGAAATATTAATTGTTCATGGGTTGGCAGAGCCAATATAATAAAAATTACAATTTTACCCTAAACTAATTTACATATTCACTGCCATCACAATAACTAAAAAATTATTTTACTGAATTAGAAAAAATAATAACTAAATTCATTTAGAAGAGCAAAAAGTCAAAAATATTAAAGGAAATAATTTTTTAAAATGTAAAGGAAAGAAGTCCAGCAGTACTCGATCTTAAACTATATTATAAAGCAGTAATTAGTAAAACCATCTGGTACTGGCTAAGAGATAGAAAGGTAGATCAATGGAACAGAGGAGACATACAATTTTCAGCAGCAAGTAAATACAGTAACCTTGTATTTGACAAATGTAAAGACTTAAGATTTTGGGATAAGAATTCATTATTTGTTAAAAAAAAACTGTTGTGAAAACTAGAAAGCAGCATGGCAGAAATAGGACATAGACCAATATCTTACAGCATTTATCAAGATATGATCAAAATGGATACATGACCTAGATATTACAAGAAAATTTGAAGAGCATGGAACACATTGCTTATCAGACTCATGGACAGGTGAACAATATATGAGCAAGCAAGAGATACAGAGCATTGTGAGGTATAAAATGAATAATTTTGATTATATTAAATTAAAAAGATTTTGTACAAATAAAACAAATGTAGCCAAGTTCAAAAGGAAGGCAGAAAAGTGGGGGGAAATTTTATAGACAGTTTATCAGATAAAGGTCTCATATCTAAAATACATAAAAAACTTTGTCAAATCTATAATAATACAAGTCATTCCCCAATTGATAAATGGTCAAAGGATATGAACAGGAAATTTTCCAATGAAGAAATCAAAATATTTATAGTCAAAAGAAAAAATGCTCTAAATCATTATTGATTAGAAAAATGCAAATTAAAACAGCCTTGAGATATCATTTTACACCAATCAGATCAGCTAAAATGATTGAAGAGGAAAGTGACAAATTTTGGAGAGGCTGTGGAAAAATTGGGACACTAATTCATTGTTGGTGGAATTGTAAACTGATCCAACCATTTTGGAGAGCAATCTGGAATTATGCCCAAAGACTTATTAAACTGCCTATACCTTTTGACCCAACAATACCACTACTAGGTTATTTCCAAAGATGATTGGGGGAAAGGACAAGAACCTTTAAGTTCTAAAATACTTACAGCAGTTCTCTTTGTGGTGGCAAAGAACTGGAAATTGCAGGGATGTCCATCAATTGGGGAATGGCTGAAAAAGTTATAGCATATGATTGTGACAGAGTACTATTGTGCTATAAGAAATAATGAGCTCAGTGATTTAGAAAAACATGGGTAGATTTGCCTGGAATAATGAAGAGCAAAATGAACAGATCAAGAGAACATTGTATAGAGCAACAGCGATATTGTTTTAAGAACAACTTTGAGCAAATAAGTCATCTTGACTATTATAAATACCCAAATTAACTACAAAGAACCTATGAAGGAAGATGCTATCTGCATCCAGAGAAAGAACTGATAAATAGAAAGATTTTACATACATACATACACACACACACACACATATTTGTGTCTAATGGTAGCCATCTCTAGGGCAGGGGTGGGGCAGGGAGTGAAGAAAAAGGGAAAGAAAGAAATTTACATGATAACTTTATTATACATTTAAAAGGAACAGCAAGTTGTATATAATAGATTTGCAGTTTCATGTGCAATCAACTTTTTTTTATTATACCATGTTATGGAAATGCTTGTTTTATTCCATAAATTAAAAATAAAATAAATAAAACTAAAAAAAGAAGTTATTGTGTTGGCATAGGTGAGAGGTAATGAGGGTAAAATGACAATATAATAATTATTATTTTTGTTGTTTTAGGCCTCAAATGAGATAATAATATATATACAGTGCTTTGCAAGTCTTAAAGCATTCTACAAATAGCATTATTATTCAACAAGCATTTATTAAGTGCTGCTCTACACCAGGCTTTGTGCTAGAAGTGGGGATACACAGGCAAAAATGAAATATTTCTGCCTCCCATCCCCAAAGGATTATGCATTCTACAAGGGAAATAGTATGGATATGGATAAGATACATACACAGTAAAATAAAAGTAATTTGGGGTGGGGTGTATGTGAAGAGAGGACACCTGGGTGATTGGAAAGGTCTCCTATTATAGAACATGGCATTTGAGTTAAGCCTTAAAGGGAGCTAGAGAATCCAAGAGGTAGAGGGTGAAGAGAGAGAGACAGCATTCCAGGTATAGGGCACAGACTACGTAAAGGTACAGAGAGAGGACAAATTATGTTGTATGTGGAGAACAGCCAATAAGCCAGTTTGTCTGGGATGTAGAATATGTGAGGGGATTATGAAACAGTTTGTGAAATCAGTCTATAGAGATCAGTTGGAACCAGACTGTGAAGGGCTTTGAATGTCAAGAAGTCCACATTTTATCTTGGAATCAAAAGAGAGCTGCTTAAGCTTCTTGGACAGGGATAGGACATGGTCATACGTAAGCAAGCTTGCTCACATCTGACCATGTCACATCCCTGTCCAAGACGTTTTAGCGGCTCCCTTTCTGTGGGGAGATCTCTATTTAGGGGGTCATATCCAGAATCAGAGAGTTGAAAACAAAGTCATTTAGATCATCCAATGCTTAAAGGGTTTAACCCCCTAAACAGAGACCTCTCCACAGACTTCCATAACAAATTCCTTCAAGTCCTCAAGTCCTAGCTTCCCTTTCAAAGCCAGAGTCAGCTCAGCACCCTTATGGAGGCACAGTCTAGGGAAGAGATTGGTGAAGTTATTCAGCAGAAGCTGAACCAGCCATCCAAGGCAGAGGGCACTAATAGTCAACTGGTCAGAGGACTTTTGCTCTAACCTCAGCTTTGCTGATGCAAACGGTATTAGAGTTTTACCAAATTACGCAGTTCTCTGCTCAGATGCTGAAGTGAGTCCTGATTGACCTTTGGCATCAAGCATATGACCTTCTTCACTTTGGATCTTTATGCCCAGACTGGTTACTAGGTGGGATAACAGAAGAGAGATCTGGAAATGGTGATGGGGATCAAAGTATTTAGAAACGAGACTATACATTGAGGGAGATGAGATAGCCCCAGAAAGGAGATTGTACCTAATTCAGTATGCCTGGATTCTAGGGATTCACAGAGTAAGAAATGAAGAAGTTACCTGGGGAGACATGTCAACCATAGGCAGGGGAAATCTAAGTTGAATGAGTTATTTAATGAGAAAGTTTTGTGGAATCAAGCAGCCCCAAAACGACCTTTAGCATGTTGGTATGCAGTGTGGCTTTCAACAGTGTAAACCCACATAGGTGAAAATGTTCTGGCTCAGATAATAGGATGAAAGTTTCCATAGTCTAGTCCCGTACAGGTGAAGTTCAGCTAAAGAGGAAACCCAATGACAAGAGGAGGAAACCTTGACAGTAACCTCCAGTTATCTCTCCACAGCAAGCCTTAGTGATTCGGGAAGGGGAGAGGATGCAGATCGATGCACAGAATGTGGTTCGGGGAGACCTGGTGGAGGTGAAGGGTGGAGACCGAATCCCTGCTGATTTCCGGGTCATCTCTGCCCATGGATGTAAGGTGAGTCTGCAGGCCCAAGAGGGACTAGTTGAGGTGCTCTCCATAAGGACAGGGTCGAGAATCTTAGCAGGGTGAGGAGGAGGCAAAACTAGATAGACTAGAACTGTGGCACTGTTATAGACCCAGAAAAGAGAACCGTGTTCTTGTCCCTCAAAACCTAAGAAGGTCACAAGAGAAGAGAGTCCTGTGGATAGGGGGTGGTGGTGTATGTCTCTCTGTGTCCATGCCTGATGGTGGGATGTCTCAATGTCTGTAACTTGTGACCTTTGAGCACTCTGTTTGGCTATGTCAAGTAGGGACTCTTTTTGTGTATGAGTTGAACTTCTGGATAGTCACTGCCATCCCTTCAAACTCTCAAATTCTATTATTCTGTGGCTATGGATGTCTGTGTACCCTACTCGTGCTGGCAGGTATAGGGGCCTCTGGGTGAATTTAGTTCCCAGAACTCTCCCTTGCCAAACTACTTTGTATGTATGTATATATATATATATATATATATATATATATATATATATATATATATATATATATATATATATATATGTGTGTGTGTGTGTGTGTGTGTGTGTGTACATATATATATTCTGCATATATTTATGCATGTATGTAGTATCTCTTCTAATAAAATGTAAGTTCCTCAAAGGTCAGAGACTTTCCTTTTTCTCTGTGTCCTCAGGACCTAATACACAGTGGATGTTTGGTAAATATTTATTGATTGTTTCATCTATCTGTCTCCACATGTTCCCTATGTGTCTCACATGTTGATGACCTCTTTTTCTTTTCCATCTCAGGTGGATAATTCATCCCTGACTGGCGAGTCAGAACCACAAACCCGTGGTCCCGATTTTAGTCACCCCAATCCCTTGGAAACCAGTAACATCTGCTTCTACTCCACCAACTGTGTGGAAGGTGAAGTTTGTATGACAGCTCACTTAATCCAACTGGGATTAAGACTCACTATTAGGTGTTAATGAAATTCTCATCTGCCAGCTAATTAGCAGAGCAGTAAAGGCAGACAAGAGGGCAATGGTTTAGATTCCATTTCATTCGCCCTTTTCAGCAAATAGTTTCAACACCTCCCCAAATCCTCGACCCAGAAAGGAGATCTCTCTAGGTACACTAGGATACTGGGTAGTAAAGGGGGGAAGGGGAGGAATTTGATGTACCTGCCAAGCAAAGGACTTTGGACAAACCACAATTCATCCAGAAGAGGGCAGCAAGGAGAGTGAGGGGAATAAAGACAGTATCATACAAAAATTAGAGGAAGGACCTAGGGATGTTTAGCCTGAAGAGGACTTAGGCTACACACGGTAACCGTCTTCAGATCTGTCACGTGGAAGACTTGTTCATTTTGGCTCTAGAGAACAAAACTAGGAGCAATGTGGGGAAGCTAGATTTAGGTTTAATATATGAAGAAAACTTCCAAACAATCAGAGTTATCCAAAATCAGAACAGGTGCCTTTGGAGGGAGAATAAAAGACCTATATTTCACTAAAGGTTTTTTTTTTTTAAGAGAGTCTAGATGATATTAAAATGAGGTTCCTGTTCAGGTGTTAGTCATAGATCATACAGCCTCTGAGGTCCTGTCCAACACTGAGATTCTTTGAATCTGTGGGTGCCCACTCTGACCTCCGTTTTTGATTTTGGAAGCCAGAGCAAATATCAGCCACGGAGAAAACGGAAAGTGTGAGAAGCAGATTACAGGGTAGAATAAAGAATACGGGCCTCAGAGACGCAAAAGCCTGGATTCAAACGCCACCTTTACCATTTATTAGTGTGACTCTAGGCAAGTCATTTCACTACAGTTTTCCTCATCCGTAAAATGGGGACAATAATATTTGCACTACCTATCTCACAGCGTTGTTGTGAGGAAAGCATTTGAAAACCTTAGAGCATTATAAAAATGTTATTATTACAACAATTAATGCAGTGAGAGTTCAGGAGAGTTCCTGATCCCTGAGTTTAGATGATCATGTAGAATCTTCCCCTCAATGATCCTTCTTCCCTCTGATCTTACAAGCGCTTTGATTTGAAGCTCACTTACTACTGATTATTTGGTGTCATCGTGTAAACGTTTGTATAAGTGCTGGTGCAGGAGAAAGAAGGACACTAATTAAGGGCAAAAACATGGATTCTATGGTTTGTGCTGCCCACCAGAATGCAAAAGGCTCCAACTGGCTATGACAGGGTTGGGATAGGGTTCTAGAGTAAAGATAAGAAAGGTGTTTGGCCTTATACTACTACCAGAAAGAGAACTACATGGTTCCATTTCTAGAGGTTTTGAAAAACATTCAGCAACTGAGCAAAAAAACAGGAGTAAATGGATTTATAGTTTGGGATAATGAAAAACTGAACAGGAAGAGTAATTAGGTAACAAAACATTTGTCTCAAGAGACTGTGAAATTTTGGAATAGAGGAGACCCCACCTCTCAGACCTGAATATGAAACAGTCCAAAGGCTGGAGGCATGGTGTTGGCGGGGGGGGGCAGGGGCGATTTATAGATGAGAATGAATGACTTACATTTATATAATGCTTTAAAGTTTGCAAAATGCTTTACATAGATTCCATTATTTTAACCTCACAACTATCCCCAACTTAAGGATAAGGAAAAGGAGGTTCCAAGAGTAATTAATTTGTTTATGTCACGTAGCTAGTAAATTTCTAAGGAAGAATTTAACCCAGGTTTTCCTGATTCCAAGTATGGTAACTTTAAAACATTTCCTGAATGAGAAAGATCCTCAAAGGGGCTGGAGTCTCTGGTTCAATTTTGGATATTATCCATGTTCCATTTTGGATATTATTCATTTCCTCTGAACAGGTCCAAAGCCCTCCCCATAGTAAGAAAAGAGCACTTTCAGTAATTGTTCTTCCCACTTCATCCACAGGAACGGCCCAGGGCATTGTGATTGCCACTGGAGACCACACAGTGATGGGCCGCATTGCCTCATTGACCTCTGTCTTGGAAGCTGGCCAGACACCCATTGCCACTGAGATTGAGCACTTTATCCAGCTGATCACAGGGGTGGCTGTATTTCTGGGTGTCTCCTTCTTCTTTCTCTCCCTCTTCCTGGGTTACGGCTGGCTACAGGCTGTCATCTTCCTCATCGGCATCATTGTGGCCAATGTACCTGAGGGGCTACTGGCCACTGTCACCGTGAGTGGGCAAAAGCAAAAGTCGGGGACAAGGTTGCCTTAGAGAAAGGTTAAGGCAGAGTTGTGGGCCTTATATTATACCTCTGAGACATGTCACACAGTACTGTATCAACTAATACCTGTTTTCATATGCCTCTGCGTAGCATTCTAGGTATTACAGGTCAGAAAGCAGGCTACAGAGTATAGTGAAAAGAGCACTGGGTTTAAAATCAAAGGACCTCAGTTTGAATCTTCTACCATGAACTATGGGACCATGGATAAATCACTTCTCTTCTCTGGGCCTCAGTTTCCTGATCTGTAAAATGAAGGAGTTAAACTATATGATTTCTAAGATCCTGGCTAGGTATAAATAGTTGCCAGAAATTATTTAGCTTTCAAAATTATGCTGATGCCCATTCTCAACCCCCTGTTATGCTATGACCCTTCTACTTCCCAATGTGTTTTTCCTCCATGAGATATAGTATGGTACAGTAGAAGAAAGATTAGACTACAAATCAGAAGAACTAGGATCTAATCCCAGATCTGAGGCTAATTGTATTACACTGGATAAATCTATTAACCCTTCTGGGCCTCAGTTTCCTCATGAGTCAAATAACGGTCCAGAATAATTGAATTTTAGAGCTTAAGAACCTTAGAAAGAGACCCTAGAAGGATCATTTGGTCTAACTTCCTACCCAGGAAAGGAATCATTTCTTTGATTGTCATCAAGATGCTATTTCATTTCACTCAATTCAATAAGCATTCATTAAGCACCTGAAGACAAAAATGAAAGTCCCTGTTCTCTAGGAATTTACATTCTACTGGTGGGAAATAACGTGTATGATGATAAGTAACTACAAAATACATGTAAAGTATTCTCCCAGTTATTAATAACTGGAGGAATAAGGAGAGGCCTCTTATAGGAGTTAGCACTTGAACTAAGCCTCCAAAGGAGCTAGGGATTCTAAGAGTCAGAGATGAAAAGGGAGAGCATTCCAGACACAGGAGACAGCTTGTACCAAGGTGGGGTGGGAAGTGGGTGAGCGGGTGGGGAAAGGCAAGTGGCCTGGTTTAACTGGAATGTAGTATGTATGAGTATATACGAAATCCAATGAGCCACATAATGAAGGGCTGAAGAGCCTAACACAGTAGTTTGTAGCTTATCTTAGAGACAATGGAGAATGACTGAAGCTTCTTGATCAGGGTAGTGATGTGGTCAGAATTGTGCTTTAAGAATGTAAATACAGCAGCTATGTGGAGGATGGATTGGAGTGAGGAGAGACTTGAAGCAGGGAGACCAATTAGGAGCTTATTGCCATAATCCAGGTAAGAGCCTGAACTGAGTGGTAGCCATATGAGTAGAGAGAAGGGGACAAATACAAGGGATATTACTGCTGGCGAATAGACCACACATTCCAACTGATTATATATGTGTGTATATGTATATGTATGTGTATACACACACACACACACACACACACACACACACACACACA